ACTGCATAGAGGCTTTATTTTAAAATTGATCCTGGAGACTTTGACGAACCGTGGATTCCAAAAGTATTATGTAGTTCGCGCAAAACGTGCTTGGCTGGTGGATGTCAGGCGCAAGGTAAATTGATTTTTTGAATAACTTTCATATAAACAATTTATGTACAGCATGGTAGTGCTTTGTTCTTTCCTGATCGACATTATCTTACTTCATCTATTTTTGATAAGTGTTAATGTCTTACTTACTAACTCACTTATTTGTTATCTGTCAGTCGCTATTTGTCCTTTGACATGCCCACCATATGGCGTCGACCGTTTTGTCATGCAACGGATTGTTATTTCTGCTTGACAAAAGTTAAGCAACAAGGACGTCACAAAACAGTTGAGTATCCACAAGTGGCTTCTATGACAAAACCTGTTCCACATTCAAGTTCGGTCCTGTATCCTGTTTATCCAAAGCGGAAACGAGCGCCCTCTGTTGAATCGACCGTTGCAAAAAGTGAGGAGGAATTCAAGGAGGAATGCGAGGAAGACTTCGAGGTGGAATTGGAAAGAAACCCAAAACTGTTTACACAATCCGAATTTAATGATTTGGTGCGAGATCTAGACTTATCGAAGGAGAAATCCGAATTGCTGGCATTACGCTTGAAAGAACACAACATGCTGAGCAAGGAGGTCAACATTTCTTGTCACAGGAATCGTCACAAGAAATTTGACCAATATTATTCTACAAAGGATAAGGCATGTTTTTTGTCACAATTGGTAAAGACAACGTAAAAAATGATCCTTGTCTTTGAAGATACATTTCCTACATTCTCACATGGATTTTTTCCCGGAAAATCTTGGTGACGAGAGTGATGAGCACGGCGAACGTTTTCACCAACAAATGAAGATGATGGAACGTCGTTACCAAGGGTTTTGGGATGAAGCAATGATGGGTGACTATTGTTGGTTTCTGATTCGAGAAACAAGTTCAAAACATCGAATACAAAGTCATTCGATTCTCAATCATTTTTAATAAAACCTAAATAAATTTCTTTTGTATCAACTCGAATTTAAATCCTGATATGCCTTAATCAAATTGATATGTAGAGAAATTTTTTTTTTTTTTTTTTTTAATCTTTATTTTAGAGATTTTTAGCCTGAGGCTAGTTCATCTCTTAATGTAGAGAAAAGAATCTCCCATGAAAACTTTACATGCGATTTGGATGCTTACAACGATACCTAGAAAAGGAACTCTAAAGCTGAACAGCTACAACATTGTATTTCAGCAACATTTTTAAGTGTTTTACAAAAATGCTCATAACTTCGACAATTTCCGACCGATTTCATCCATTAAAGGCTCATTTTCTCCGGTTTTGAATGGACTTTAAAAATAAATTATGGAATGATTTTTTGAATCTTTTTATCCCATTAAAAATGTTGATGTAAACAAGATTTTTATGGAAAATTCGCAAGAAAAATAAAAAAAAATGCTGTAAATTTTTAAATGACTTCAAAATTAAATTTTTAATTAAGACATAATATGCTAATAAACGATAGCAAATTTATTTAGCTTCATTTTCATAAAAAAGATTTAAAATTGGTGCACTAGTTCCAAAGATATTGACATTTTAGTAATCGTACTTTTGTCCAAAATTCAAAAAATCAAAATTTTTGTATATCTCAAAAATGGCTCTACTTTAATTTTTTCTGACCACGGCATTGAATTCAGCGTAGGATTTTGCACTGGAAATGATCATCACCTTACCGAGTTCAAAAATGCTGTAAACTAGTGTAATTAGCTAGTCCCTTTTGGAATAAACATTCAAAAATATCGGAAAGGCTTGAATAAAAATTAAGGCAGGGTCAAGGATAAATTTAATGCAAACTTGGCATAGAAGTGCACGCGGAGTGTTTCTTATGGGAAAAATGCTTGAATTACATATCCGTTTTTGAGCAATAGGGTAGGGTGGGTCAATTTCAATTTCGCGGGACTATTTTGAAGTATGCATCGAAAATGCATGGGGGCTTCAGATAGCCTAGTCAGTACAGGTATTACGAAGACCGGTCGAGGAAACCTTTCTGGTTGGAAATTTGCTTGCCACACAATATTCAAATCATGTATTGATTGGCAGAGAAAGCTCTCATTAATAACTGTGGAAGTGCATCTAGAACACAAAGTTGAGAGCTGGTAAAACGATCCAAAGGAAGCGTAAATAGCCTAGAAGAAGACGAATGGAAAAATACATGGGAAATAGAAAGAAACTATTAATTTGGTTGTCTTAAATTCACACATTTCTCAATTTATCCTACACAGGCAAAAAAAAACAATTTTAGACTTGACCTTCTCCAATTTTCATGATACTTTGCGTAATTGTTTGTCATGGTCAATAATTTGAATTGAAAATCGGCCATTTTGAATGCGTAGAATGCTTCAAAATTAAGTATGTGACATATTTCAACAAATCATAACTCGAAAACATTACTTCCAATCGAGTTGACATCTGAGACAAAGCTGTAGGAAAAATAATTGCTCTAAAAAAATAACCTCGGCTAAAAATATCGAATATTTTCTATTGAAAAGCTTATAAAAATTAATATCTTCTGGGAAAATATTTAGTTGAACACTTGCAAATTAACAAAAAAATATGGCACAACAATTTTTGGGGTATTTTTTGAGCGCTTTGTTTAAACAAACTTTTTGTAAATTTTTGAACAGAAAACGATTTTGAAAGTTTAAAACTATTTTTGGAGCAAAATTTTACACGAAAAATTGCTTAAACAAAATGTTCAAAAATAAGGCTAGAAGTTTTGGTTGAATGATTTTTGTTAATTTTAAGCCTCCAACTCCAAAGTCTCACAAAACTCCAACTCCAAAGTCTCACACTTTTTTGGATGTTTGACCCAAAACTAGCTGACATTTTTTATCGTGTATATTTTTTTCTGGAAAGGAATTCTTTTTCCTAACAACTTTGTCTTACTCGCTTAGAAATTATTACCGACCTCGCTAATTTTTTACCGAACTTTCAAAAGTTCTAAAAGTAAAACTGTGACCCTCATTTAATAAGTTGTTTCACTACATTTATATTTACTATCAGCGTTGTTTAAATAATCAAGTCTTGCCATTGTAGTGTAGTTTTCCTTGATGAATTAGCCAAAGGCTAAAAATCTCCCTTATGAAGATTAAACAAATTGTTTAAGCCTTGAAACTATTAAAATGCCAGATTTTTACCGAACTGTTTTACCGATGTCGGTAATCATTTCAAAGTCTACAGGCATCATGTCGATCAGAAGTGACGTTTTCGAGTTATTATTTTTTGATAAATATCAAATACGCAAATTTAAAGTTTTTTGCGTGATTCAAAATGGACCAGTTTAAGCTCAAATGTGAATGATTGACCATAACATACAAACAACATACAGAGTTTCATGCAAATCGGAGCTAGTGTTGAACTGCTCCAATTAGTATATTTCAAGACTGAGTCAAATTTTCATGGATTTTCCTCATATTCAAGAAATTTTTCCTGGTTATCCAGATACTCAGACGGACAACCCTAATAGAAGAATTTGTATGATTATTTCCCTTAACGACCTGTTCGGACTATAATCCAAACCATTTGTGGAATATTATTTGCTTACGTTTTTTTTTATTTATTTTGAAGTGCAGTTTGACATTAAATTTTTGGACTCCTTTTTGCAAATTCTAATTTACTTGTTTAAAATGAAGTTTACATCCTCATCAAATTAGTTCAAATGTGCTAATGCTGCCGACGCCAGGCCAGGGAGGCAGCTCCCACACCTGAACCCTATCGACCCATCAACTCATGAACCGGGGACCAACTGCAACAAAGATGTTATGCCTCAGAACATCCCGGCGGCTCCGACTGGTATTGAACCCAGGCCTGCTGGGGTGAGGGGTAATCGCGCTTACTACTACACCACAGGCGCCGCTATTTTTTAATATTGTTCAGCAGAGTTTTAATTATAATATTAACGACAGGTAATTAAGTTGAAATTAGGCCTAGGATAAACTACATTCTGAACAAACTTGAATAAATATATGTCGAATATGAATTCTTATAAGAATCCTAATACCATCACTTGAAGCTTGAATATATTTTTCGGAAAACGTTCCGCTGAGGGGCTCGACAAATTTTGCATCATTATTGTCAGAGGTAAAATTTCCTGCAAAATCATTTATCATACCAAGCATCTTCTCAATTAGCTAACCAGGTGGATAGAAAAAGCAAAGATTTATTTTCATAATTTCCATCGTTCATCCCCTCGCAGTCAATCTTATATGATTGTGAGTTGCAAAAAGTTCCCAGTGTGTTAGCTTTTCATTCCGTGAAAGCTTTTAAAAAGCTACTTCGCTTTCAAGGTGTTGGTAAGCACACAATCATGGAGTGGAAGCCATATTGCCTTACCAACACAGATGTCGACAGCCCAGCCGGCAAAGTATTGTGCAAGTGAAAACGGTGTCTTAGCAAGGGTGAGGGGTGGCTCCGCTGCCTGAGAGAAAGAGCCATGCGGGAGAGCAGAAAACTAATGGCACAATACAAAGAAAGGAAAGCAGCATGGAGTGCGCCTGCAAAATATCGACGAAGCCATTTAGAAGAGCGAGAGAAAATGTTAATCTTAGTAAATGACATCGAGCAGACGATTGGAGAGCGCTCCGTGCTGGTGGTTTGCTAACGGACGACGACGAAGACTGGTGGCTGCCATATCGGATCAATAGTAGAAGAATTCCAAGACGCTTTTTACTTAAGCTGATTGAATTTTTCTACTTGAGAAGTTTTTTTTTGCTGTTTACTGATATCTTTTTTTTTTGTTCGTCTTGATTAAACTACTGCTCTGATCGGAAAATTGGATCGCGTGTGTGTGCCCCTGGTGTTGTTGAGCGGAAGTGAATCAATGAGCGACCGTGAGCTTGGTTGATTGCGTGTGAAAATATGAGGATGAGATGGCAGATAGAACTGGTGGAAAACGTGACTGATCTGACTTATCGATTTCTATCGTTTCAGATCTGTGTGGTGTCGGAGGAGGATGAAATGGCCGGTGCGTTGATTGCAAAGTTGTTTGAAAAGGTACGTATTTGCATGAATTTTGTTTGCTTTCGATCTATGCCTTGGTAATGGGGAACGGCACTACCGACGGCGCTTCGTTTTGATTTACCGACGGTAAGAGAACACTTGCAGTTAGCTATGTAGTTGAATTATTTTTTATCATGCTATCACTTACTATCACTGCCGAAGACTGAACTGAGCTACCAATGTGCTTTACACAAGGTTTAGTAAAGAAATAAACGAATCGACATGCTAAAAATCTCTAAATGGTCTAAAGAAACTCAAACTGCCCGCAAATGTGCATGTTGACACATTTCTGTCAATTTATCAGTAGAACCAATAGACCTCACCAAAATCGATTACTCAACCCACGCGGTTCCCTGGGGAGTTCGATTTTCTCGCTCCAATTCTGCCCAGCCACCCTGCAAGGAGGCCATATTCTGGAAAATTAGTCACATCACATTGAATTTCCCGCGCAGCTAATTAATTTTCTTCCAATTACCGTTCTCGCGCGTTCGCTGCAAATCGCGCAAATGTTTAGCGCGACACGTCGACTCTAGGAACTCGAGTAGATCTTGAGCTAGTGGTTAGTTTTTGCATCTTGCGATCAGTTTCCCCAGTGAGGTCCAAGTGGTTGCATCCCAGCCGCGGAGAAGGGTCAACTCCAAAGCAGGTGCCATTTAGCGTCAAGTGTCAATTTGTCAGCTGATTTTATAGGAGCCATTTGCAACCGGTGGACGGTTCACGTGAAGGTAAGTACCCGACAAATGCAATAATTTAGCTTTGCAGTGTACCAATTAGGATAAAAAGGGCTATCAGTGATGTTAATGTCAGGTGCAATTTAAAATCTCATGAAATATGTGGCCCATTATCATGATTCCTCCCTCCCACGTAGCTTCCTTTGAAGTTCGTTCTGCCGAGCTGTGTGTGACAATTTTTCGCCTGCAATTTTTACAACCCTCTCTGAAGACGCTCCCGCACTTCACATCCGAAAGCTCCACTGGGTCAACGGTGGAGCACTTCCAAAGATTTGTATGCGCTGTTTTTATTTTTATTCGTTTAGTCAGACATACCTCGTCGCGCGGTTCCCTTTCGTTGCATGCTTGGTGCTTTACTCTTTACTGTTTTTACAACCCGTCAAAATACATATAAATATAGATGTTTATATGGGGCGGCGAGGATTGATAAATTGCCCGAATGGATTGGACACCGCTCTCGAGTTGTTTGGGTTACAATCGTTTGTTTCATTACGTTTCTTCATCGCATGCAAATCAAGTCACGTGAATCACGCCTATAAATTTGCATAATTTCGGTTACATTCCATTCCTTCGATATAGGGGGTTTAAGCAGTAGGTACGGCACACATTTCTATTCCAATGGAGATCCCTTCAACGACCCCCACATTCCAACCAGCAGCAGCGGTTTGCATTTTGCCAATGTTCACCTTAAACGAAGAAGATGTATTCTGTATTTTGTGTTTCCCTCCATTTTCAGCTGAATGGGTCACATCTATATGCTGATGAGCGTATCACATCACCGCACTATTAAATGACATCCTCTTTGTCGCATCGCGCACCCCCATCCACACGAAAAAAAAAAAAATAACGTAAATTGCATGACAGCAGCACGGTAGTTTGGTACCGCATGCTGTGCTACAGCCCCCACCAGGAAGCAGAAATAACGCCACGGGGAAAGTTCCGATCCCAACGACCCTCGAAGGGAAAAAATGTGTAATGTAAAGAAAAAGAGGAGGAAATCACGTCAACTTCAAAATGTGGCCCACGGAACCCAAAGGGAAAGTCTCCGGGTGCGTGTGTGTGTGTGCGCTCGATGGTACTATCAAAAAATAGAGCACAATCTTATCATAATTTAGGTTTCGTTTTCACGTTGACGTAGGGGCACATTGGCCTGGCCTGGTCGCTGTTGTTTGGGACAGGGGTGCAGTGTGAATGAGTTTTTTTTTTATCATTCATGATAAGGTTTGAATGTTGTGCATATGGATTGGATCTAGACTAATTTGAGGATTTGAGATGAAATTTTGATGTTAATAGCTGGTATTGTTAAAATAATCTTGGCAGGGATGAAACAGCCAAGGACTAAACTATGTATTTTGACACTGGACGTATATGAACTTAGCAACAAGATAGAGCTTATATTATGTCCTATTGGTTGTATCATCGGCATAATCGAATCAATTTTTGCGCTCAAACATATAACACGTTCTAAACATTTTTAGGAGAATTTTTTTCTATAAAATTGAGCCATAGATTTTAGAGGGCAGAGTACAAATCCACCTTGGAAAAATGAGCGAATGGTTCAATGCTGTGGAAGTGACGAGTTATAAAATTTTTAACTGTGCCTCAAAATTCGATCATAATCAGCACTCATTTTACTTATTTTTGGGTCACCAAATCCGAATCTGTAATCAGATTGAGGGCGATTCAAATATTACAGTCTCACCTAAATAAAGCTAAATTAATTAATTATTACAGTCTCAAATTTTTCGATTTTATTTAACCCCCTTCCTGTGTTACGCTTTTTCCCATAACTATTACATTAACTGTCTCATGTAATCTAGGACACTCTCCGCCCTACAAGAGTGTACGTCATATTTGCGTTAAATGAACGATTTAGTATCATAATAATTATTTTATGAAAACAAGAAACTGTTTAAAATTATCTACATTTAGACTTTTGCGACAAACTATGCAGTTTTTTTTTTATCGCAACCACAACTTTCGTAGAAATTATAACACCTGATTCTTGTTCAGCGAATACAAATCAAGTATAAATGCTAACTTCTGAATATTGATTTGCATAAAAATCTGCATGAGCATCTTCACCCCGAAATGGAAAATTTGCATTTTTAATATCACTTTAATTCTAAAAAATAATCAAAACATGCAATTTAAAAACCACATTCTTTCTTTAGAAGAGCGTTTGGTAATACAGGTTTATGTGCCAAACATATAGTTGAAAAAAAAAATCAGGTTTATCTATAAAACGTGATCAACTTTCGTAAGTTTTACGGTATCTGTCATGGATACTATGTGGAATTAAATGGCAAATTATGTAGTTTAATTGTTTGATAGACATAATTAAGACGTTCTGAAAAAAGAGAACCAAATTTGACATGATTTACTGATTAGAATCGATGCCAGATGAAGTGAAGTAGGGGCCTTAAAAAATCTTATATCTTAATATGGCTGTAAAGATTTGTCACTTTGTTGAAACAGAATCTAAATGCAGCAATATGAGGGATTCGATAACTGTCATTGTCAATGTTTTCCCCTGCTTTTATTACCTAACCCGGATGTTCCGGTGACCATAGCCAACATAATATTCGAATATTATATGATAGCCCGCTATGAGTAATTGGTACCCAATACTAACGTAGAACTACTGCTGTTTAAAATGTAAATTCAAGCATTACTGATTTTTGGCTCCGCAAAGTATCACACGCAACTGAGCCTAGTAAATAAACGAACTAGTTAAAAAAAATTCAATGTGTCATACGACCATTTTTATAAGAGAGCAGATTATGACCTCTGGATCTGGTATTTGGGGATTTTTTTTTACATTATCAGACAGGTTTGAGCCGAAGGGCATCAGAATTTTATGAAATTTTACCAACAAGGTAGAGTTTATGAACATTTTGGATGGATAGTATTCCCGGAAAATTTTAGTTGAAGTTTTTGGATTTTCCCGTACATCGATGAAAATTCACAACTCATCGTAAAAAGAATCGTCAGTTTTTTGTTCATATCCAAAAAACGGAAAAAGACAAAGAAAATTAAATTTTCACCAGTAAAAGATAAGAGTTGAAAGCAAGAAAAAGTTTGGAAAACTATTTTCACTAATCAGAAAATTATTTTCGTGTTTTTCTTTGCAGTTTTCCTTCACCGCTAAAACGGTAAACGTTTGTAAGATTATATTTTAAATGGATTGCTGTGATAATTTCCTTATCATTTCAATATGAAACATTGTTTCTATAATTATTTCCTGCATGAGCTATCAATTTTCAAAGTATGTGATGTCCGCGACAGCTTCACAAATCATTATTTTCGGGAATATTATCCAACTAAAATATTTTGAATTACCCTTATTGAAAAACAATATCCCAATTTGAAACATCCGGGAAAGGTCACTAGCCACGAAAAAATATATCAAATTCAATATTCAATGTTCTGTTTCATGCACATTAATTTATCAATTTATCACGGTGTGTATATGAAGAAACATTGTTTAAAAAAACCATAGCGTAATCTATCACTAATTGAAATCTAGCTTTTTCCCCTCAACTTGACACCTGTTTTGAAAATAATCCACCGATTGGAACAACTTTTATTCTTATTTTTTTTGCTACATATCCATACCCAAGTAACAATTCTGGTTTTATGAGGGTCCTGTAGATCATGATTTACGCTTATAGAATGCAATACAACCTCAATAAAGCTGGCAATGATTCTTGGGTAAAGTAAGGACCAAACTTGTTTAAACACAAATTTTGTTACTACCCCGAGACCGTGCAAAGTTGCTTGTTAGTTTAACTTACGAACCAATGAAAGTTTCTAGGGCTAAACTTGATCTTCTTAAATTAATTTAAGGCCTTTAAGGTTTTTGACAATCCTGGCTGTTGAGTTTCTGTGCTCGGAATCTTGGAAATTTTTCAATTTGAATTTATTAAACAAAAAATACGTACTCATATCTGGATATCATTGCAGGTTTGTCGAGGATTTGCTTAGGATCATTTTAAAAAGTATTTAAAACTATTTTTCCTTTCAGCATTTCTCTTAATTATCATATGATTCTGTCTGGTATTCCCTAGAAATCCCTGTGCAGAATACTTTTAAGAAATTTCTTCCAGAATAATCTTGAAATTCATTCTTAATTTATATACGCTTTCCTAATAATTCTCATGAGAATTTGTTTAATTTCCCATCAAAATGGAATATTCTTCGGGAATCTCTGGATATGCCATTTAGAATTTGGAAATGTACTCTCTCAAAAATACCATGGAT